AACATCTTCAGATTTTAGTATCCACTGGGGGGTTCCTGGTACCAAAGTATGACTGTATATCTAAATACTTCATAGGTAGCCCCTAGCACAGGGTTTATCTTACTGAACAAGGGTTCAATGTAATCTCTTTTCCCCTTCACCCTTCCCAGTAGCACAGGGTCACTGTAATAGAAATAAAAACAGTTCAGAGATCAAAGAGAGTGGGAGGTCAGCTGGCCCCTCAAGCAGGGCCTTGAAGGTACCGGTACCAGAGTTGTTGTGGGGTCTGTACTATTTCGTTTTGTGCTCTGTAGGCCTGAAAAGCTGACACTGTTAGAACTTCTGGAGAAGGAAATGGCAATCCACTTCAGTATTCTTCTCTGGAGAATCCCATGGACAGAGAAGCCTGGCAGACTACAGTCCATGGGGTTGCAACAGTCAGACATGACTTAGCGACTAAACCAGCACCATAGTCTTTACCAGCTGAGCCACAAGAGAAGCCCAAGAATACTGGAGTAGGTAGCCTATCCCTTCCTTCTCCAGCAGATCGTCCGACCCAGGAATCAAACTGGGGTCTCCTGCATTGCAGACAGATTCTTTACCAACTGAGCTATGAGGCAAGCCCAACTAAGCAACTCACGCACACCATTTTATGTAGAGACTTGAACATCTTCAGATTTTAGTATCCACTGGGGGGTTCCTGGTACCAAAGTATGACTGTATATCTAAATACTTCATAGGTAGCCCCTAGCACAGGGTTTATCTTACTGAACAAGGGTTCAATGTAATCTCTTTTCCCCTTCACCCTTCCCAGTAGCACAGGGTCACTGTAATAGAAATAAAAACAGTTCAGAGATCAAAGAGAGTGGGAGGTCAGCTGGCCCCTCAAGCAGGGCCTTGAAGGTACCGGTACCAGAGTTGTTGTGGGGTCTGTACTATTTCGTTTTGTGCTCTGTAGGCCTGAAAAGCTGACACTGTTAGAACTTCTGGAGAAGGAAATGGCAATCCACTCCAGTATTCTTCTCTGGAGAATCCCATGGACAGAGAAGCCTGGCAGACTACAGTCCATGGGGTTGCAACAGTCAGACATGACTTAGCGACTAAACCAGCACCATCAGAACTTCCAGAGTTGACTGGCTTCTTGGGGAGAAACTTACACTAACAAAATACACAAGTTGTTGATGAGTTCAGAATGCAAATTAATTAACTTTTAGTGATAGATAAATCTTCCCATACTAGTTCTTCCCTTCTCAGTCTCATATTTTAACCTTGATATAGAATAATTGGAAAGTTGTTAATTGAGAGCAGAATCTGAGTTAACAGAGTTGAACAATCTTCGGAAATATTTCACCCCAGCTATGAGAACAAGCTGATGCTTTCACCAAGGAATTTTGTATAATAACTAAACCTTTGTGTCTAGCAAACACATAGTATTAGAGAAACGCAACACATTCCCACTGTAATTGCCCCATTAGATGCTCTGTGGACCATGTCTTTCCATTAATATATGCATCTTCTGAAATGCTATAATCAGTTCGGTTAGAATTATCTTCAGTTACATCCTACTATTGAGGAAGCATTCCCATTACTTTTGACTTGGTTTCATAAATCTACACTAGCATTCTTAACCAGAGGTAAGCGCTACAGATAGCTGATATTAACTGTTTTAACTTACAGAGTCAGCTTTCCTTCATTTTCTAGAGGCATCTCATTACAGACGTCTTTGTATCAGTCTCAATTATCTGTGTAGCCATTGCCTGATAGTTAGCATGTACTCAGTAAATGTCAGTTGGGCAAAGCTGAGGATAAAAAGAGGAACACTATAAAGGAGCTCAAAGTAAAAATTTAAGTCTATTCTTTTCTCTATAGCATTCTACCTTCTCTGGCCTTGATAGCGACAAAGTAAAGGAATAAATTAATCCCATTAGAGGATTGTAAGTAAAGAAAAATGTATGGGAAACCCCTGGAAGTTAATGATCATGCAAGAGTTCAGGTTTGCTTAACTTCAAAACCAAGCAGGCTTGCTTAGCAACAAAACCACACAACAAAAACCCCCAAACAATAAAACAACGGTGGCATGAGACCCACATCCTGCCCAATGAGCTCAGTAAACTGATTCCTAGGACAAACTTCCCTGCACATATTAAAAACAAAAAATATAAGGAAACGGTGACATTAAATTGAAACTTGAAATGACTCACCACTTTTAGTATATGTTACTGCCTTTTCCAAATAAGAAAAGGAGTACATCAAGGCTGTATATTGTCACCCTGCTTATTTAACTTACATGCAGAGTACATCACGAGAAACGCTGGGCTGGAAGAAGCACAAGCTGGAATCAAGATTGCCGGGAGAAATATCAATAACCTCAGATATGCAGATGACACCACCCTTATGGCAGAAAGTGAAGAAGAACTAAAGAGCCTCTTGATGAAAGTGAAAGAGGAGAGTGAAAAAGTTGGCTTAAAGCTCAACATTCAGAAAACTAAGAGCATGGCATCTGGTCCCACCACTTCATGGCAAATAGATGGGGAAACAGAGGAAACAACAGCTGACTTTGTTTTTTTGGGCTGCAAGATCACTGCAGATGGTGACTGCAGCCATGAAATTAAAAGGCGCTTACTCCTTGGAAGGAAAGTTATGACCAACCTAGACAGCATATTAAAAAGCAGAGACATTACTTTGCCAACAAAAGTCCGTCTAGTCAAGGCTATAGTTTTTCTAGTGGTCATGTAAAGATTTGAGAAAGCTGAGCCCTGAAGAACTGAGGCTTTTGAACTATGGTGTTGGAGAAGACTCTTGAGAGTCCCTTGGACTGAAAGGAGATTGAACCAGTTCATCCTAAAGGAGATCAGTCCTGGGTGTTCATTGGAAGGATTGATGCTGAAGCTGAAAGCCCCAATACTTTGGCCACCTCATGTGAAGAGTTGACTCATTGGTAAAGACCCTGATGCCAGGAGAAGGGGTCAACAGAGGATGAGACGGCTGGATGGCATCACCGACTGAATGGACATGAGTTTGGGTAAACTCTGGGAGTTGGTGATGGACAGGGAGGCCTGGTGTGCTGCAATTCATGGGGTCGCAGTGTCAGACACAACCGAGCAACTGAGCTGAACTGCCTTTTTGCTCACTTCTATTGTGCCGTGACAGTCCCAGGTTGACCATGTAGGGAGGAGAAAACACCCCTGCGGACGTGGAGGGACTGGTGATGGAAGCTTGATATCCACTCAATGAGGAAGAAGGTAGTCTCCCTGCCCCCCTTTTTCTTTGATTATAAAACTGCAACCCACTTAAATTCTCAGAGCATGGCACCCTCTCTCACCCTTCCACTTGTAAGCCTCATAAGTGCCCTATTTTAATAAATCACTTTTTAATCTATCAATTTGCCTCTTGCTGAATTCTTTCTGCACTTAAGACATAAAGAATGGAAGCTTGGAAGCTCTACAGAGCCCCCAAGACATTTCAGCGGTATGGGATATTTAGAAAAGGGTGAAAATGGTGTGCAGATGTAGAACTCCCAGGGATGGGAGGCTAAGAAATGGAACTTTCAGGAAAGATTTCTTTGGAAGGTTAAGTGGAGGATTGGGCAAAGGAGTCTCTAGGGACTGTTGCTGAGTCTAAGATCATGGAGGAAAAGGCTGAAGTTAAATAACCGTGTATATATGCTGTCCTCTTTGAGATCCCATGGACTGCAGCACGCCAGGCCTCCCTGTCCATTATCAACTCCCGGAGTTGACTCAAACTCATGTCCATTGAGCTGATGATGCCATCCAACCATCTCATCCTCTGTCGTCCCCTTCTCCTCCCGCCTTCAATCTTTCCCAGCATCAGGGTCTTTCCCAGTGAGTCAGCTCTTCGCATCAGGTGGCCAAAGTATTGGGGTTTCAGCTTCAACATCAGTCCCTCCAATGAATACTCAGGAATATTCATGAATATATGCTGTAAGATGCAGGAAACTGTAGATGTTAGCTCAGGTACTGGGCAGACTGTTGGTGCAATTCAGGGAAAGAACAAAGAGAGGGGAGCTGGGGGGGTGGGGGTGGCGGCGACTGGATGAGTTTGCTTTTGGATAGGTTTTGGATAGGTTATGAGTTATTGGGACAGATAAGTTGAAGTATCCAGTAAACAGGTATATAGGCCTGAGCTTCTGCAACAAGTCCTAGTTGAAAGCACTGAACTGGGTACGACTTCAGGAAGAGTGAAGAATGGAGGAGTGCGCGGAAAAGTCGAGTAGTGGGGCAGAGCCGAGCCGAACACTGGGATTTAAACAAGGGCAGAGGAAAAGCAGCAGCCCCAAAGACGGAGGGCGACGTTTTGAAGGCCGAGGGAAAGACGCCTTCAAACTGAAGGCGGTTTGGGACGCCTCCTGGAGGTCAAGAGGAGGATGACATCCTATTCTGAGCTCCACCTGCCTGGAATGCTGGAGACCCGGATCCAGTCTCTGGGTCGGAAAGATCCCCTGAGAAGGAAATGGTCCTCGGTTAAACCGGAGTCTGAGGAACAGAAACGGGTGGGGGTGGAGGTGGGGGTGGGGCGAAGCCACACCGCTGGCAACAACTAAATCGAAAGAAAAGAGGCCTCAGTACTAAAATTTTTAAGGTAGTCTGGCTTTAACAAGCCATTAAAGGAGGAAGGTTTCAAGGGATAATTAGCTTCAGAATTCGGGACCCTTGAATGGGAGTAACTGCATCTGCTAAAGGCTCTCCGCAGCCCTTTAGGATCCTTTTTGGGATTTCCCTTGGTGTAAACCGGAAAAAAACCTACCATCCCTAAGCTAGAAAAAAATTACCATTCAGTAAATAAAGCAAAACAGAAGAGCGTTTTGTTTGAAAGCCTTCACTTTAAAAATCCTGGCATGCAAATAAAGGGCTTTAATGTGGCTCACAACGATTGGTAGGTACTTACAGAAGCCGTCATTTCCTCGTAGCGCAAGATGCAAACGAAGAGTCTGCTTTTCGCTTTCCTATTGGCTGTTCGATCGGACTCCGCTTTTAGCCAATCAAACCACTTCCCTTCACCCCTCCCGGTAGCTCTTATAAATTACATCAAATTGGTTATCCTTGCCATATTCTTCTCCTTGAAAAAGAAGCTGTAACTGCAGTTTTAGCAGTAATGTCAGGCCGCGGAAAGCAAGGAGGCAAAGCTCGGGCCAAGGCTAAGTCGCGCTCATCCCGCGCTGGCCTTCAGTTCCCCGTAGGGCGAGTGCACCGCCTGCTGCGCAAAGGCAACTACGCCGAAAGGGTGGGGGCCGGCGCACCGGTGTACTTGGCGGCGGTCCTGGAGTACCTGACCGCGGAAATCCTGGAGCTGGCGGGCAACGCTGCCCGAGACAACAAGAAGACGCGTATCATACCTCGCCATTTGCAACTGGCCGTGAGAAATGATGAAGAGCTCAACAAGTTACTCGGGGGTGTCACTATTGCCCAGGGCGGTGTCTTACCCAACATCCAGGCAGTCTTATTGCCCAAAAAAACGGAGAGTCACAAGCCTGGCAAGAATAAGTAATTAAGAGGCTTGATACCATCCCTACTCACCCCAAAGGCTCTTTTAAGAGCCACCACCAAAGTGTCAAAATAAAGGGCTGATCACAAAATAGCGCATTAGCTCTTTTTTTGAAAACTTGGGTGGCTCTAAAAAGAGCCTTTGTTCTTTGGTTTACTTTGTAAGGCTTTATTTGCTTTTGGCCTTATGGCTTTCGGTTTTCTTTGGTAATAGAACGGCCTGGATGTTGGGCAGAACGCCGCCCTGGGCGATGGTGACCTTGCCCAACAGCTTGTTCAGCTCTTCGTCGTTGCGGATGGCCAGCTGCAGGTGACGAGGGATGATGCGCGTTTTCTTGTTATCGCGCGCCGCGTTGCCGGCCAGCTCCAGGATTTCGGCGGTCAGGTACTCCAGGACCGCCGCCATGTAGACGGGCGCGCCGGCCCCCACCCGCTCAGCGTAGTTGCCTTTGCGCAGCAGGCGGTGTACTCGCCCTACCGGGAACTGCAAGCCTGCGCGGGACGAACGCGACTTGGCCTTTGCGCGGGCCTTGCCTCCCTGCTTTCCACGACCAGACATGATTAAAGGGCAGTACAATTAAAGATCAGATCCCCTCGGCAAACGATTTAAAATAGCAGCACTTGGAAAGCCTTTATAAGTTTCCCGAGGGGTGGGGTCAGGAACGAGCTTTTCATTGGTCCTAAATTGGCTCCTGAAACGGCCAATAAGGTTAAAGAGTCGGGGTTGCTCCGTAGCTATTACTGATAACGTAAGGTCTCTCCGCGGACCAATGGAAATGTAAGACTTTTGGAGCCTTAATTTGCATACGGTGGTTATAAATGGATCAGGCCCGCCCATTCTCATACCTCTTTTTTTGCCAAACGGTGTTGTTCCACAATGCCTGAGCCGGCAAAATCCGCTCCCGCGCCCAAGAAGGGCTCCAAGAAAGCCGTCACCAAAGCCCAGAAAAAGGACGGCAAGAAGCGCAAGCGCAGCCGCAAGGAGAGCTATTCCATCTACGTGTACAAGGTGCTGAAGCAGGTGCACCCGGACACCGGCATCTCGTCCAAGGCCATGGGCATCATGAACTCGTTTGTCAACGACATCTTCGAGCGCATCGCGGGCGAAGCGTCGCGCTTGGCGCATTACAACAAGCGCTCGACCATCACGTCTCGGGAGATCCAGACGGCCGTGCGCCTGCTGCTGCCCGGCGAGCTGGCGAAGCACGCCGTGTCCGAGGGCACCAAGGCGGTCACCAAGTACACCAGCTCCAAGTGAGTCCCTGCCGGGACGCGGCGCTCGCACGAGTCGCAAAGCCGCTTGATTTTCCAAAGGCTCTTTTCAGAGCCACCCACCTAATCACCAGAAAAGAGCCTTGTTCACTTGTTTTTCCTCAGTTCCTCACAAAGTAAGTTACTCTAGTTGGCTAAAAGTAATGGAAGATGACACACGGAGCTTTTTAAGCCCTTATGACTTGAGATTCCTGGCGCGTGACTGGCTTTGCTTTTGAATCTAGGGCGCGTCTTAACCCTCACTGCTGCTTAGCTTTCGTATGAGTCAGTTCTAAATTAGGATACTGAGACTGCTCCTAGACTTATGTCCTGGTGGCTCTGTTGGTGTACGTTTCACCTGTGTTCCAAAACGAAGTGAGTGATTTTAGCTGTCCACATTTAAGAAAGGACCCCTGGACACGACCAAGCCCGGGTCTTCCGAACACTGCATCACAGCCCTGAAGAATTAAACGAGTTTGGCAGCTACGTGGGTGCCGGATCACCAGTTAGGCCCTTGCGATGAGGCTTCTTGTGGACACCACGGTTCGGGATACTTCGTACTGAGCCCGCGCTGCCTGGTCTCAGCCTTCCCCTGATTGGACATGAATATTCAAAATCTCCCGCCGCTCCGGAATTCTTAGGTTCTGGTTTGCGCCGCTCACTTCGGCGCTGTGAGATTCCTGTTGTTTCTTGGTTTGTGGATCATTTTTGCTTTTAATTCTCTTTTCTCGAAATATTTAGGCGTCAAGTCACTGCAAGGCACTCGTCATTTTAGTTTGGTCTCAAACGTCACCTCAGACACCTTCGGGAAGTTGCGCCTCTCCTTCCTGTCTCTGGTCCCTCACTATTTTATGTTCCTCCTAGCAGCTGTCAGAAATTGTTTTGCTATTAGGTTTTTTTTTTTTTTCCTTGTTTACCATTTTCCTCAAGACCTTAACAGAAACTTTATTGGTTTGGTTTTCGTCTATGTCGTCCCCGCCAACCAGTGCTTGGCACACAGTGGACACTTAAGTACTTACTGAGTTAGTATTTGTTCAATTGATTTTTCTGTCCCTTTTCTTTTAAGAATCGCCTTCATGGATGGATGGATGGATGCGGTTCATTTCCATTAGACGTACATGAACACACGATGAAAATGGAAATGTTTCTGAGCTCCTTTCCCAAGTTGGCTATGGTCACCTCAGGGCAACAGCTGGGAGGAGGGCTGTATTTTTGTGTGTGTGTATTTATGCTAAGGAGGAGGTGGCAGTTTTAAGTCCGTCCTTTATGCTTTTCAGTTTGGTCTAATCTTTTGGATTTTCATTAAATTCAGAACATTGCTCACTGGAAGATCCTTTTCCTTTCTTCATTTATGACACCCTCCTTCCATCCTGATCTTTTGTTCCCCACTGAGATGAACTTTTCATTTACATTCACAGTTTCATTTGGTCTTCAGGAGGCCCTGTAAAATAGACGAGGTTGGGGCTTCCCTGGTGGCTCTGGTAAAGAATCCGCCTGCCAGTGCAGAAGACACAGGTTCGATCCCTGATCCAGGAAGATCCCAGAGAGAAAAAAAAAAAATGTTAATATTCCTTTAAAAATGAGGTTGAGAGTGAGTGGTCCACTGGTCATGCAGCTAACGTTGTCCAACTTTGTACCCTCAGATGCAAGGACGATTGCATTTTAGTTTTATTTCATTGTAATTATGGAATGTTGTATTTTTCTGTCCAAGCCTTGATTCTGCTGATAATGGCACTGATGGTCTGATCAGCTATTAAACTCTGCTTTTGGATAAGGGGTCCTGGAGTTGATTGCAGGGGCTTCATGAATCCAAATGGACTCCAGACATTATCAGAGACTAAATCTTAATGTTTCTTACATGTGTGTTTTCAAATGTGTGTATATGCTATTGTTATTAATAAATTTACCAGTTAATTTAAAAGCTTGGCTGTATTCTTTTATCTGTAATATATTTTCTAACTAAATAGGTAAAATCACTACTGGGTCTAAGCAAATGTATAGAGATGTTTGAGTGCCTCTGAACTGGAAAGTGAAAATTTATAAAGCATCAACCAAATTTGCTTCTATTCCAGAAGGGTATTGGGGTGAAATAGTCTTTTAGGAGGACACTGTTAATGCTTTGTAACTGAAAAATGTATGAGCATAAAATGAAACAAAGGTCATGACCACAAACAAGAAGCACTGTAAATAGAAAAAGTTATTAACAAAGTTTAGAAAACACATTTAGTATGTGTCTGTTGGATGTTGTTCTAGGTCCTTCACACGTATTGACTCATTTAATCCTCACAAGAACTTTATGAAATAGTTAACCATTATTATCTCCCACTTTACAGAGGAGGAAACAGGCATAGAAAGGCTTCTCCTCAGAAACTTCTCAAAGAATAAACTTAGTTCAATGTTTAAGGGACTTGAGAAAGTAAGATCCCTCTCCAAAAACCTGTGGTGAAATACTTAACGCTTTAAAATTAAAGAGAAATATCACCTACTTTAATTTCAGGATGCACCGTGGGTATAAGTCTATGATGGAGGTGGTGGCTGAAAGACTTGAGCTGGTAGTAGTGGTGGCTGAAAGTCTGTGTGGAGGGCTCTCATTTTCCATTCCAGAGGCCACAGCTCAACTCTGTTTAGTTTGTCCCCATAGTCATAGGATGGAGAAGGCAATGGCACCCCACTCCATTACTCTTGCCTGGAAAATCCCATGGATGGAGGAGCCTGGTGGGCTGCAGTCCATGGGGTCGCACAGAGTCGGACACGACTGAAGCAACTTAGCAGCAGCAGCAGCAGAGTCATAGGGCTCACCAGCTGAAATACTTTTACTAAGATAAGAGAGCTTTGGTAACTGGTTGTAGGCTCCTCCTGGGCATGGTGTTTACTAGGAAGGAAGTTATAAAGTGAGGAAGGGGAAAGAAGTGTTATAGTTGATATTTTAACTCTGGAGGGGAGGTGATTTTTTTTTTTTTTAATCTTTTTTTTTTATTTTTTTTAAAATTTTTATTAGTTGGAGGCTAATTACTTTACATCATTACAGTAGTTTTTGTTATACATTGATATGAATTAGCCATGGATTTACATGTACTCCCCATCCCAGTCCCCCCTCCCACCTCCCTCTCCACCCGATCCCTCTGGGTCTTCCCAGTGCACCAGGCCCGAGCACTTGTCTCATGTACCCAACCTGAGCTGGTTATCCGTTTCACCCTAGATAATATACATGTTTCAATGCTGTTCTCCTGAAACATCCCACCCTCGCCTTCTCCCAGAGTCCACAAGTCTGTTCCATACATCTGAGTCTCTTTTTCTGTTTTGCATATAGGGTTATCGTTACCATCTTTCTAAAGTCCATATATATGTGTTAGTATACTGTAATGGTCTTTATCTTTCTGGCTTACTTCGCTCTGTATAATGGGCTCCAGTTTCATCCATCTCATTAGAA